TCTGCATATGCCTGTCAGTATCTACAAACTTTGAATTCCCAGTCTGTCCCTTCCCACCCCCCGCCCCCTTGGCAACCACAAGTTTGTATTCTATATCTATGATAAACAGACCTTTATTTTTAAGTTGACAAAATGGTTATAAAATTAACATGGACCTAGAATAACCAAAGCAACTTTTAAAAAAAACAAAGTTGAAGGACTTACACCACCTACTTTAATACTTAGTACAAGTACATCAAGACTATGTGGTTGGTACTGCCATTAAAATAGACAAAGAGATCAATGCAACAAAATAAAACACCCAGAAATGGGCCCATGTATATACATGGTAAACTGATTTTGATCAAAGACATAATGGCAATTTAGTGAAGAAAGGATAGGGTTTTTAGCAAACAGTGCTAGAACAACTGACACCATATACAAAAAATGAATTTTGTCCTGTATCTGGTGCTACAGATTAACTTAACATAAAATGGATCGTGGCTTTAATGTAAAATGAAAAACAGTAAAGCATCTTAAAAAAAATAGGAGAAAATATTTAAGACTTCAGGCCAGTCATGATTTCTTAGATACTAAGGCCATGACCCATAAAAGATTAAACTGATAAAAACTGACATCATCAAAACTACAAATTGATAAATTAGACTCCATCGTAATTAAGAACTCTGCTTTTCAAAAGACACTGTTAAGAAAATGTAAAGATAAGCCACAAAATGGGAGAAAATATTTGCAAATCACAGCTACGATAAAGAACTTGTAATGAGAAAATATGTAAAAACCTCATAAAACTCAATAAGGAAACAAAGAGCCCATTTTTTTAAATGGACAAAAGAGTTAATAAACACTTCACCCAAGAAGATACATGAAATATAGATAGGCAAATAAGAAGCATGGAATTTATTAATCATTAGGGAAGTGCACACTGAAACCCCCTAAGATTATTCCACCTTATTAGAATAGCTAAAATTAAAAACAGTGATCACATCAGTTGTAGCAACTAGAATCATTTTGAAATACAGTTTGGCTTTCTTAAAAAGTTAAATATACACCTATTATGGGAACTAGCCATTCTACTTCTATGTATTTAACAAGGAGAAATAAAGGCATATGTCCAGATAAAGAGGTTTATATGAATATTCATACCAGCTTTATTTATAGCAGTCAAAAAGCAGCAAATAATGCAAATATCCATCGATGGTTAATGGATAAACTAAATTAAATGTGGTATAGTCATACAATGGAATATTCCTCTGGAAAAAAACATGTACGTACACACAACATGGATAAATCTCAAAAGAATTATGCAAAGAAAAAATCAACACACATAAAAGATACTTATGTATGACTCCCCCAGATAAAATTCTAAAAAAATGTTAAATAATCTACAGTGACAGCAGATCACTGGTTCTTCGTGGGGCAGCGGTGGGGAGGCTGGGAGAGAAATAGTACAGCCTGAGGAATTATTAAAGGGCACAAGAAATCTTTGGAGGAATTATAAATACTCTTTATCTTGATTGTGATGATGGTTTCATGGAGATACATATAGATATAGATATAGATATAGATATAGATATAGATATAGATATAGATATAGATATAGATATATATGTGTGTCATCTATATATATATATATATATATGTCAAAATTTCTCAAATTAGACACTTTAAATATGTATAGTTCACTATATGAAAAATATCCGAGCTGGGAATGCCTTTTTTTCCCATTGTACCTTGACTGTTACAATCTTTCCACATCCCCTACATTCAATCAGTAATTAATTCCTAACCATTCTATTTTTCTAATCTCATTCCTCTAGTTCCATAACCACTACCCTACACCATCTCTCACCTGCATTATAATAACCTCTCTCCAGTCCCCACCACTCCAATTCATTCTCCATCTTGCAGGCCGAATTAACATTCTAAAACACAAACACATCTCATTAGCTCCTGCTTGCTCTGGAGATAACATTTCAAACTCCCTTAACGTGACTCACCCTCCCCAACCTCCTTTCTGGTGATTTCCCACCTCACCCTTTCCTGTCCACCCATACTAATCAATAGTGCACCAGGCTTATATAGTTTTGCACATGTTGTTCCAAGTCAGATAATCCCCTTCCCTTTGCCTTGCTCCAGCCCAAGCATACGGAGCCTTTGCAACTCAGCTTGGGTATTATCCCTTCCAAGAAGTTTTCCCTAAAACCCTGTAGTGGGTCATTCAGACTTCACTCAACTCTTGAGAACTTTTGCGTGCCTTACTGCAGGCACTAATCTCACGATCATATAACCTCCCTTACCAAACCAGAAAGAAGCCAACTGGATGAAAGCTTGAAAGCGAAGACCAAGTCTTGTTCATCCTTGCCTTCCCAGAGCCTACCACAGTGCTAGGCCCAGAACACATCCCAGATTAGTGAACAAATGAACACAAGAGCTGGCCTGGATGACCTCCTCTTACACCTCCTGGGTTGATTCTAAATTCCACCTTATAAAAAGATGGGCAGGTGAGAGGTTAAATGATCTCTGTAGTACAATTTGGTAAAATGATTATTTTAAATCCCTTTTTTGGAGGGGAGAGGGGTCCCGTTTTGGCAAGAAGTTTAAGGCAATATTCATTACCTCAAATTGTTTTCAAAACCAGCTAAGTAACTGACTGTGATTTGAATTAAGTGAGAGGTTAGGGAAAAGGAACCAGATTCCAGGAAAAGACAAGGCCCATAGCAAAAATTCACAGTCTGGAAGAAGGCCCAGTCTCCTCCCAGTAAACTTCTTAATTTCATCCAGAAAGACACAGCTCTCCACCCTCAAGGTTATGCCCTTCTTCCAGTACACATGTTATGACTTCCAAATCCAGATAGGGAGGCGCCCAACCTCCCTTCCCCTCGAAATCAATCTCCAGGCCCTTCTCACCCTCTCTGGTCTGTTCCCTCAATCATCCTTAATAAGAGGCCTCTGGGCCTCCTACAGGGAGGTCCTCCTCAGCTGGTCCCTCCCAGAGCCAGGCCAGTGGTCACCAGGTCAAGAGCCAAGCACAGGGCCTCATCAACAGGAGACTCCCAGAAGACCAGGAGGCAGTCAGAAGGCTGGAAGACCCAGCTGGCAACTTAAAAAGTTCAATTTTTGGATATACACTTGGTGGATCATAGTAAAGAGGGGAAAAGCAAGCAAAGCAAGGCAAAACTCTACCATCTACATAAAAGCCTCAAACTAAGAGAAGACTTGCCTTCTTACTAATTTGCAATTCAAAACCATACTCATTTCCTCCCTCCTGATATTCTATTTTAAAAATTAACCTAATGATGACAGCTCTCCCATATCTTGGAAATGACTCTTTAATTTAGAGATAAAATTAGTTAAGACATAATAAGTACTTTCGTGGAAAATAGCCCATAATTAGGGAAATTCACCATTTTGCAACGTGTTCATCCTTAAAAAGAAAGGAAATTCATGAAAACGTAGACACCCCTAAGCCTTTCCTACCCAGGGTAACTGTAGCCAGAGCACTGTTACCATCTAAACTAAACTGCACCTCAAACATGATCATAAGCTGCTGAAAGAGTTGAAAGGTAAAAGCAGCACTAGGCTTAAACTGCCTTAGGTAGCCAGACTGGAATTAGAAGGCTCAAAAATGCCTGTGGAAATGTCCTAAAACAGGATGGGGGTACAGAGGGCAGAGCGGGTGAGGAGATAGAGAGAGACGTTAACATAGTTAACTGGATACTGCGGGCAGAGGACCCCGGCTTTCGGACATCTTTTAGGCAACGCTGAGGACGCAGTAAAGGCCGACCCCTCTCTTGAGTGGCCGTTCGCCTCACCCAGGAGTGGACACAGAAGACTCAACAAAGTCTTGGGAGCCAAGGCCCAGCTGGCCCTGGCGTTAACACTTATGCGGCCTGAGGAGAAAAAGGAGGCGGCGACTGAGGGAAAGGGGAGGGAGGCTGGGGCCTGGTGCGCTCTCCACTTGGAGAACGTGCGCGCTGCGAGCCTGCGCGCCTGCTAAAGCCCCTTGTGCACA